TGATCATTTTGAGTATCTGCATTTCGTCCTGTATATTGAGGGCTCAAGGATCTCTGCAGGATGTATTATGACTTGCGTAAATCATTGGTGTTGGTTTTCAAGTTATTCGAAATTGATTCGGAAGAACGAACTTCAAGATTTAAGCTCTAAGTTAGAAAAGTTGACCAAATTTGAGTTTTTAGCATTTGACCTCATAATGGAGTCTCGTCAGTTCTAATAGCTCCGTCGGGTGATTTTGGACTTAGAAGCGCATCCGAATTGTAATTTGGAGGTCCATAGTCGAATTAGTCTTTAATTGGCGAAAGTTGGATTTTTGGAAAGTTTGACCGGGAGTGGACTTTTGATATCGAGGTCGGATTCCAATTCCGGAAGTTGGAATACATACATCATGGCAAATGTCACTTGTGTGTAAAATTTGAGGTCAATTGGAGGTGTTTTGATAGGTTTCGGCATCGGTTGCAGAAGTCAAATTTTCAAAGTTCATTTATTTTGACTTGAGGTGTGATTTATCATTTCGAGGTTGTTATGTGTGATTTGAAGCTTCGAGTAGGTTCGTTTTGTCATATAGAACTTGTCTGCAAAATTTGGCGCCATTTGGAGTTGATTTGATATGGTTCGGACGCTTGGTTGCGATTCTAGAAGTTCTTGAAGTTTAATTTGATCTTCATGCGTTTTACCATCCGGTTCGTGGTTTTAAAAGTTATTTTGATGATTTGAGCACGCGAGAGAGTTCGTGTTGAATTTTTGAACTTGGGTGCATGATTGGTTTGGAGCGCTGAGGACTCGCGTGAGTTTCAGAATGATTTTTCATAATTTTTGAGTATTGATTCTGGTTTAATCACATTTGCGATGTTTTGGTCACAAATGCGGTCATCGCATTTGCGAAGCAGCCTCGCATTTGCAAACCTGGGCTGTTGGGCAAGAATTCGCTTTTGTGAAGAATTCCTCGCATTTACGAAGGCTCCCTTTTTGCATTGCGAAGCATTTGGCTGCAAATGCGACCTTGGAAGGAAAGCTTCAGTTTCACATTTGAGATAAGTTGTTCGCATTTGTGAGGGTCGCATTTGCGAACCCCCGGTCACAAATGCGACATCTACAATTTGCTACATGTTGAGAATTTCGAGATTTTGCTTCATTTTGTTATATTTTTATCCCTGGCTTTGATGGGAGGCAATTTTTGTGAAGGGATTTTTATACCAAATTATTGGGTAAGTATCTTTAATCATTTCTCAACTACATTTCATGATTATATATAAGATTTAACATCAAATTCATGAAAAATCTAGCAAAAAATTTGAGGATTTTGTCAAAACTTTGAAAAATGAAAATTATGGATTTGAGAGTCGAATAGGACTCGGATTTGAAAACTAAATACTTATTCAGATTCGTGAGGCTATGGGTATCATGACCTACCCTTGAACTAGGGTTTTGATCAGGAGGGCCCTGGGTTTGACTTTTATTGACTTTTTAGAAATTGAACAAAAATCATAATTTTATTAATTGAAATTATTTTCTCTTGCATTGTATGATGTATTTAAGTCGTATTTGGCTAGATTGAGCCGAGCGGAGGTGAATTGGTAAAGAAAAAGCTAAATTTGAGTATTGAGTTAGCCGAATTGAGGTAGGTGTCTTGCCTAACTTTGTTGAGGGATTTTTTCATTCTATTTTACATTGTTTGCTACATGCAGGGGTGATACATATATGAAGTGACGAGCGTATATGTATATTCCAGGATTAATCATGCTCGGGGGTAGATTATGTTATAATTGTGTCTTGTAAAATTACATGAACTTCTTGCTTCATGCCTCACTTGACTTCTAGATATTAAGAACATAGTATTAAATATTAGAAATCAAGACTTAACTTTTTATTATAACTTGATCAAATTTAACGGAATCCTGAGGATACATTGATGTGTCTAATTCGGTCATCACTATGCGTAATCATTAATACATTCCTACAGCCTATCTTCTTGAGATACTAGATTCTAAACTTGTGTTGTTGACCATTTGTGAGATTTGTGGAAGTACTTTAATAATACGGTTCTTGAGAGTTTATTGAATCATTATTGGCTTGGAAAGTTGTGATTGGGATTTGTTTGGAATATTCGTTTAAACACTCTCCTTGATATTATTTATGCTTCCTGCCCTATTTGTCATTGATACACATGTGCTTGGTAAGGAAGAGTGTAAATCACGAAAGGTGAAGTCGTGCGATTTTTTATACATTATCATGTGAGAGAGAGTGTAAAGTACAAAGGGTGATGTCGTGCCATATTATTGAGAGTAAAAGTACGAAGGGTGATGTCGTGCCATATTATGTGAGTGTAAAGCATGAAGGGTGATGCTGTGCCATATCATTGAGAGTAAAAGCGCGAAGGGTGATGCCATGCCACATCATTTGAGAGTAAAAGCACGAAGGATGATGCCATGCCATTTTATTTATATTATTATGCTTTTATATTATCATGAGATCATGGCACGATGGGTGTTTCCGTGCAGGTGAGGATGAGGGACATGCATTATATTGTGATATCTATTTTCCGTGTGTAAGTTCATGTCTTTATCTTGAGCGGTTATTGTCGTACTTATAGATCTCGTGTGACTTGTTGTTATTGTCCTGTTCTTGCTCTCTATTTCCATCATTGTTGTGTTGTCCATATCTTCTACTTGTTGAATTTTCAAACACATGCCCACTTCCTGCTATTATAATTACATTTGTGTCGTGTTGTTGCACTTTAGTAGAAGCCCTTTTTCTATGTTAGTCATTCATGCCTCTACTTGTTAACTTATAAAGATCATGTGTTTCCTTCTTATTTATTAGATCTGTACTTAGGCCTCCATCATGCTAGTTAATTGAAGTTGATATTCCTTATTTTTGAATTGATATCATTACTCAGATGCTTTCTGCCTAGTCTTTTACTATTGCCCACATGTATATCCTTGTTCAGTAATGCTACTTGCGTATTTCCTACTTTGTAATTTCTGTTATCGATATTTCCTTCATCTGGTTGGTTCTATTATATGTGTATTGGGTGAGGATGAGATAAAAGCACGAAGGGTGTTTCCGTGTAATTGGCTTGATATCTAAGTACATTCCTCATGTTATGAAAGTTATGAAGTGACTGTAGTGATTTATCGGTTTCATTCTAGGAAAAGGATTGGTCGAGATATTGTAAGATGCTAAATTGTGATCACTGCCACTATTCGGTTATTGTTTATGTATTCGTTTCATGTATTCTTCTTTATTATATCATGGTATAGTTCTATTGCTGATTTACGGTGCAAGTCTTATCAGTGAGTATCTTTAAACTAAAAAGCGTCGTCACTAGTTCGACGAGGTTAGACAACATACGTACCATTACATTGGATCGGTTGTACTGATACTACACTTCTGCACATTGCATGAAGATTTTTAGAGCGGAGCTACTAGTGATTTCGGAAGTTGACTCTGAAGATGCTCGTGCATTCCAGATATAACTGCCACTTGTCCTTGGTAGCTTAGATTTTAGAAACCTGTTTATGCCAATTTCAAACATATCGTATAATTATTTGTATCATCTTTGTAAATTTCAAAGTCTTAGAAGCTTATGATTCGTACTACCAGTTCTTGGGCGAATTTGTAAATATTCAGATAATTCTTTCCTATTTTCCTATAATCTCATTTGAATTGTATTTTTTGTTAGTTGGCTTACCTGGCGGGTTGAGTTAGGTGCCATCACGACTAGTGATTTTTGGGTCGTGTTGTAGAATTGCATCAAGATTTTGTTTTTGTCTTTATGATTTGATTGTTTCTCCTGAATTAATTGTGTTGCAACTGCTTCTAAACTATATCAAGAATTCTTTTACCTGCTAGATTGAATTTGCATGTTGCCTTTGAATCAATTTGCATTGCAATGATTCGAAAGTGTATCAAAATTTCTTTTTTGTTGCTCAATTAAATCCATCTGTTGCTTTTGAATCTATGAATTACAAGGCTCGATATTGTATCAGAAACTACGTTTTTCTGCATATCAAAGTTGTAAATACTATCAACTATGTCATATTTTCAAGTTCTGAGATAATCTTCCACTGATGTTAATGGCAAGTTCCACCTGAGTGAGAAACATGGAAATCTTTTGGGAGGCGACCGACATATCTAAAAATGAATCATCAAAAATACAATTGAAAAGGAAATTCTAACCTTCATGCGCTAATCGTGGTAATATATTGTGTATGGTCAAAACCAAGGAGCTCGATTTTGAAATCTTACATTGGGCTATAAGTCCGAGTCTGGGCGACTCGAAGTGGGGGTCAGATCAGGGTGAAGGATACACGCCTCGAGGAAGCAGATCGAAGGCCTGGCATGACCTACATCGAGGGCAGTACATCCTCGAGGGTACTCAAGAAAGAGCGGGAATTTCTCAAGGACACGTGGATCAGGGCATAAATTAAAGTATAAGATTTGTACAAAAGGTACAGATCCGTACTAGGTTATTATACATCTGTACCAATAGAATTTTTACCTCAATTAGGAATGTACTATATTGAGGTTTTCTCCTCCTATATAAAGGGGACCCCAATTATTTTGTAAGGATCATCTCACATTATTCACTATAATAGAATATTTTACTCCACCTTTCTTGTTTAACGTGCTCAATAAGTGTTCTTCTGCTTTATTACTTTGACTGTATTATTCATACTTCACTGTTCTTAGTTGACCTCGAGGTCCCCAAGAAAGCCAAGCTCGAGGTCCTCATTGTTATAGCAATGCTGATTTAGTTCATCAATTGTTCTTACTTAAACTCAATATTACTTGTATATTCACTAGTATTAGAATAAATCACATATCTTTAAAACCGCAAATTACAATTAATTGTTACCCCCATTTTTTGAGGAAAACCGTTTGTCGCCCACCGTGGGGAAAAATATAACAGTGATTGGTTTAGTTCTATTTTCTAATAACACACATTATACTTTACACTTTTTCTTGTCAAAGATTCTTTGATTTAAGGCTTAATCATGTCTAGCACACAGAATGCACCTATTCACGAGGACGAAGGTTTTGGAGAAAAGAGTGGTATAGGGGTCGGAGTACCACCCATAAACCCTGAGGGACTGTCAAATGTGGAGCCAGTTGATATCAGTTCACACAATGCTCTAAACACGTACGCAGGCACAGATTCCACAAGGATCGCACATAGGGAAGACCGAGCAGGAGGCCAGGAAACACGAGGGATGGAAGAAGGAGGAGTCAGCCTCCAAGTGATATTCGAGATGCCGCAAGCTCAGCAAGTTGCCCTCGCTCAGCTTCAGAGTTAGAACATAACTCCTAACACCGCTGAACCAGTAAATGCCTGACACGATCTAGCGCTAGAAAGACCCAACGAAAGTGGCTTGGGGACTGACCCCGCAATCATGAAAATGCTCGAGGAACTAACTAAAAGAATCGAGTCAGGAGAAAAGAAGGTAGAAGACAACGATAAAAAGGTGGAAACTTATAACTCCCGGGTAAACCAAATGTCGGGAGCACCTCCAATTTTGAAAGGTCTAGATGCCAAGAAATTCATACAAAAACCTTTCCCTCCCAAGTGCGGCTCCAATGCCCATTTCCAAGAAATTTTTCATTCCCGATATACCAAATACAATAGAACAACTGACCCTAATGACATATTACCACATGCACTTGTGGCGTAATAGGGAATGATTTGGAAGACGATGAGATTGAATCAGTTTTGCTAAAAACGTTTAGGGAAACTCTGTCTAAAGGTTCCATGATTTAGTACCATAAGCTACCTCTGAACTCTATCGATTCGTTTTCCATGCTGACAGACTCGTTTGTGAAGGAACATGCTGGTGCCATAAAAGTTGCAACAAGGAAACCCGACATATTCAAGATAAAGCAAAGGGAGAAGGAGATACTGAAGGAGTTTGTATCCCATTTCCAATCAGAACGAATGGAGTTACCGCCAGTCTTCGCTGACTGGCCGTGCAAGATTTCACTCAGAGACTGAATGAACGAAGCTCAATAGCTTCGAATCAGCTGAAGCAGAACAAAGATTAGGGTCGAGTATCCCGCTGTGACTTGGGCGGATGTGCATAACAGATACCAATCAAAGATAAGGGTCGTGGATGACCAGTTGGGAGCCCCCTCGGGCTCAGTTCATTCTAACAGATTTGCAGCCAAGCCCTCGAGGGACTCAGACCAAGGGTTGAGATTCAAAAAGGAAAGATATAAACCGTACATCAAAGATAGAAGGAACATTTCAAGGCGTAATACACCTCGGAATGATCGAAGAGTAGATCGAGGCCAAAATGCTCGAGGGCTCATGAGCAAAATCGGGTTTGATAGGTTCTCGAAACCGATGGAGGCACCCAAATTGTCAGAATACAACTTCATTGTCGATGCCTTGGGTATCGTCTCAGCCATTGGCAAAGTTAAATATACTAGATGTCCCAAGCCTATACAGACCGACCCTTCTCAGAGGAATCCCAACTTAATATGTAAGTATCACGGTACTCATGGGCATAGGACCAAGGATTGCAGGAAGTTTAGGGAGGAGGTAGCCCGGTTATTCAATAAAGGGCATTTTCGTGAATTTCTCAGTGACTAGGCTAAGAACCATTTCTGAGAAAGAGATACAAACAGGAAGAATGAACCTAAAAAACCTAAACAGATCATTCACATGATCATCGGTGGAGTCGACATCCTATAGAGACCCATATTCAAACATACCAAAGTATCCATCACAAAAGAGAAACAGACTAGGAGCTATGTGCCCGAGGATGACCTATCGTTCTGTGACAAAGAAGCAGAGGACGTGTCCCAGCCTCACAACGATGCCTTGGTAATCTCTATCCTTTTAAATAAAGTTCAGATTAAAAGTGTTTTGATGGATCCAGGTAGCTCAGCGAACATAATCAGATCGAGGGTTGCGAAACAACTCAGCCTGCAAAATCGGATTGTACCTACATCCTGGGTGTTGAATGGTTTCAACATGGCAAGTGAAACAACAAAGGGAGAAATTATTTTGTCAGTAAGCGCAGCCGGGACCATACAAGACACCAGGTTCCATGTCATCGAAGGTGGCATGAGGTATAACGCACTTCTCGGAAGGCCATGGATACACAATATGAGGGCAGTGTTTTCGACCCTCCATCAGATGATGAAGTTCCCAACAAAGGAAGGAGTGAATAGTCCACGGAGAACAGCATGCTGCAAAAGAGATGTTTGCAATCGAGGAAGCGGTGCCGATGCAGGAACCCTTGACCTCGGAGAAGTCGAGCCTCAAAGATAAAACAGGTGGCTAAGTAGAAACACGGCTCCAAGTCTAGACAGAAGTAGGATAAACAGGTAACCGAAGGTGAAGAAGGGAACTCCTTAGCTCCATGAACCTCCATTGTCCCCGAGAAGCCCGATACTACCAAGTTAACTGCTCAAAAGAAAGGTACACCGGGGAACAAGATTAACCCCCAAACTCAGGAAAAAACTCATTTAGTTTATTATTGATGATATAAATTGCATTGCTTGGCACCGTTCAAATATGACATGGATTCATCCTTAAATCACCACACATAGACGGAGCAACAGTCCCAGGTTCAAACCAGTAAAACAAAAAGGGAGGCCCCCAGTTCAAAAAACTTCGTATCAATATCCAGTCAATAGGATGTGTGATGAATAGACAAATAAATTAACAAAAGACTATATTGATGATATGACTAGTTAGGTCCCTGTGCATAGAGGACCATTTTAATTCATTTGTAGGAAACATTCAACATTTTGGGGCGACGTGGCACGAAGCTCAACCTAGAGAAACATGTCTTCGAAGTTGGAACGAGTGAATTTCTCGGCCTCATGATGTTAAATCGAGGCATTAAGAATCATTCCCAACCAGTTCAAGGCTCTCTAAGATACCATGATCATGGATAGCAAGGCCTCGGAGTCGTTGGTAAAGGATCTTACAAGATCGGCACGATAGGAGCTTTTAAAGGCTTGCGATCTCGAAGACACCCTTCTTACACCAAGGCCATATGCTTTAAAGCATGCATTGCACTCTTTTTTACTTGGCTCGGATTTTGTCCCAAATGGGTTTTATCTGCAAAGTTTTTAACGAGGCAACACCTATATGCTACCTAAGGAACATTCAACAAAGTATTCAAGGCTTCTTTTCGATCAACCTCGAATACTAAGGGGCATCACCCTCAGAGGTTATATCCTCGAAGAAAGCAATTCATGCCAAGGAGGGCCTCAATAAGGAATGTTGTAATAAGTCAAACGGTCAAAAAAACCGTGTCCACATAGAATAGTCGAGCCCCCAGCGGCAAACATGTACGCATGAATCAACTATTTGAAGAAACATTTTTTATTTCAAAATTGCCTCAAAGAAGTCCACTACTTTCACATTTAATGGCTCAAGGGACAAAACCCCGAATGCACTCGAATACTGGGGGACTGTTATCGACTATCGACATACTGAGTTATCAAATACTCGAACTTATAAGACCTCAAAGAGGAACATTCGAGCTCACAAGACCTCAAAGAGGCATATTCGAGCTCATAAGACCTCGAAGAGGCATCTCCTCGATATTAAGGCCAAGGCCATCACACTCGGGCACAAAAGGCTACGGCCATATAAAAGACTATGATCGTAAGAAAAGGCTACGACCGAAATAATACGGCTCAGAGATGTCCGACTTTCACTATAAATTAAAGGCCTTCAACTATTAAGAATCGGTTAAATCAGGCTACCCTCGGCAAAAGCAGAATATGAAGGGCTTCGATAAATTCAGCCCCTGAAAAACCTAAGGGCTCCGATAAATTAGCCCTCGGATGATCCAAAGGCTTCGATAACACTGGCCTTCGGAAAAACATTTAGAGGTATTTGATTATGCTTACGCAAACGAAATGACTAATAAGGTTCCGATACGTCGAGCCTTCGAAAACCCAACGGGTACAAAAACACATGCTATGGCATAACTAAAATTTCACTAAGTCTTTTAGCCGAAATGAGGGAAAAATTACATAGCCATTTTAGAGGCCGAAACGGCCCAATATAAAGAGCCTAAGAGAAAGCTTAAAAGAGCCTAAGGGCTGATATATAAGAGCCCAAGGGCCAACATCGAAAGGCTTAAGAGCCAAAAACTTATAGTTCGAGACTTTACTCTCACTTCGATCCGAACTCAAGGTTCGCAATATCCCGAGCTTGCATTAGATCGATTTAAATTTAGCTCAAAGATTATTATATCTAAAAGATCTAAGGGTTTTGTAACACCCCGAACCCTAAACCAATCCTTGGATTAATCATTCAAACGAAGTCTTCCATAAATAAAGACAATGTTAAATCCAGCACAAACCAAAGACAAGATAAAAGTTCCCCTCGTATTTCCAAAATATGATTACATGAAGAATTTACACAAGAGAGGCTTACAAGGAAACAAAATAAAGTAACCTAAAACTACTTCGGGGTCACATCCTTAGCAGTTGCATCTTCAAGAGTCGCATCTTCAAGAGCCTCACCCTCGGGGACTTCATCCCCATATCCTTTATTCTTAGAGACACCGACTGAATCATCCTCATCGGAAAGTAGAATGGCCACCTCTTCTTCCAAAATCTTCTCCGCTTCAATATCGACTGAAAGGTCGAAGCCGCGGGCATGCATCTCCTCAAGGTTCATCCTCCAGGATTGACACCTAGCATGGTCACGAGCACTTGATAACTAGCCTTTGTCGTAGAAAAAATCTCCCTTGCACAAGCATTATCAGCTTCGGCATCAGCTCGCTATGAAGCCATAATTGCTGCAACATCAGATTTAGCCTTGGCCAGCTCAGCAGCAGATTTGGCTTTAAGCTCCTCGATCTCGAGGCCTCGAGCTTGGCTCTCCTTCTTCACACATCGAAGTTGTCGTTCGAGCGAAGCTAACTACTCTCTTAGAGTTTCCTTCTTAGAAGCGAGATTGTCCATACCTTGCCTCAACCCCAGGGTCTCGTTTTCTTTCACCTTAAGCTCCTCCCGAAGTTGTGTCTCCAAGTCGGCCTTCTGCTGAAACTGCTATTTACCTTGAAAATGGTAACTACAATTATATTGATTTTGTGGTCTAAAAATACATTATTTATCTTAGCACTAGTTGTTAGGCAATAGATGCTAAGTGTGAGTAAAGAAAATAAGAAATGCAAACCAATAGGGTCACAAGGCTGTGCCTCGAGCTGATCGGAGCAGGGCCTCGAGGTCTAGCTGGGCTAATAGCGATTAACGATTGATGAAGAATCAATGATAATGAGGGCCTCTCAGATGTCCTTTTGCATTTAATAATGAGCAATAAATGAAGAACAATGATGAATAATGAATGAACAATGAAAGAACAAGCAATAAATGTGTGGAACAATTGTTTAGGCAGAGAGGAGGGAACGTTTTATTGTATTCAATAGGTTGTGTATTCAATCCTTATCCAAGAGCTTACAAGATGATAAGGGTCCCCTTTATATAGGAGGGGGATCCTTACATAGTAGATGTCTAATCAATACGGGGAAGTGCTATTGGTACAGCTGTATAATGGTTCAATGTGGATCTAACTATTCTTTGCAGACTCCGTCAGTCCTCATCACGTGCCCTCAAGGGTCTTCCGCCTTTTCATAACAGTCATCGATTTCCATTCCACCTCGAGGTGCGTCATAACGAGTCTTCGATATGCCCTATTGAGGTGGGTGCTTAGAGAATGAGCCTTGGGTTGTGCTTTGATCCTATCGAGGCCGGGCTCGAAAATGCCATGGAAACCTTAAAATCAGCCTTCCCCGATTTTAACCGCATGTAGATAGTCCCCGTGTTCCTTGGAATGAAATAACAAGGAACGGTTTGAATTCTTCAACTCTTCAATGCATCCATTATTATGTCAGTTACACCACGTGATCGGTTGATGTGACAAAAAGGGACATTCAAAAGTAACATTCGCACGGTTCTTAAAAATCCTCGAACTGATCATGACGGTTGGCCGCCCGTTGGTTTTCCCCAATGTGCATTACTGGTCTCTATAAATACCTCAGTCTTTTACCCCTTATTCTCTATCATATCTCCGAACTTTCAACAACTTTCCTTACTTTTTTCATGCGCTTGTTTCTTGCCCGGGTTTTTTCTTTTCCTCTGAAATCTTTCAGTAGAAATGGTGAAGACCTCCGAACCATCCCTCAAGGTGATAAAGATTCTTCGTCTTCATGCTCATCTAAGGGAAAAATCATAATGCCTCCTAGTCTTGAAGAATGTATGCCCAAACTTTATGAGACATCCTTCGATTTTTCAGTTGACAAGCCTTCTTCAAAATCGGGGCGGTGCGGACCCATGTCCTGATACATTAGTTTCATCATCGACATTGGGAAGGTAAAAACTGACTGCCGCTGGGGAGAGGTGGTGCAAGTGGAGGTTCCCTCTTGGGAAGAAGATATAACGACACACAAACCTTGTTTCCTCTATGTGTATATATATCTTTTTACCCTGGGTTCGGTAGAACCATCCTCGTCATCGATAGACCCCGTAATCCTTGATTTCTGTGGACAATATTGGGTGACGCTCGGTCAAATTCATCCATCATTCTGGCGTGTTGTCTACATGATTAGGTATTTTACA